TAGATACACACGAAGGAAAGGAATAATATAAGAAATAACTAGTTGATGGTATTTTCGATGTTAGTATGCTCCAATCTAGTAATAATTGTTGAATGTAAACTCAATCAACCTAAGTCGCTTATAGAGAGTTGAAGACGGAATTTTTTCACAATTTTAAAAGTGGGTTGGCCTGCATTAAAAGTCACATTTGGCCTATGACCCAAGGACCCCAATAGTTGTGCAGCGAAGTGATGACGAGTCGCCACAATGCATATAACTCAGTATCGAATCCGACCGGAGTTGGTGATTAGACAGAGGCGAGGTCAAAACTGCGGTGTCCACTGTATGAAACTTTTTAGAAGGCAAGGCTAAGCTGAATTTAATAGCAATGTGAGGCATATGCATATTACTGAGGGATAATTCTAATATAAATCATCAACTCCTCGTGAGCGACCAGGGTGGATTAATTTCCTATTTAAGAATTACTGATAGTTTGGGGCATAGTAACATCAAAAATATCAATAACTAGTAATTTCATATATTTCTACTGTCAACCATCTAACTCCATATTATACCTTGTGAGCCAACACAGTTAATGTGTTATGTATGCTTTCAAAAACCTGTTGGGCAAGTCACACTGACCTCAGCATACTGCCATCCCTGCTCAATTTTGCGCATAACCCACATCTCGTGTATATTTTCAGCTAGACGATCTCGCACACGCTCTACATAGTTTGGCAGCTGTATACGTGACGTCTCAACGGTACGTGGTACGAATACACCCTGTTGCGGTAGTTGGGGGCTAGCGGAGGGTCCTGAGAGTACAGACTTTTCAGTTTGTCCAAATGTGAATACAGGCTCTATGCGGAGCTGTTGGTTGGCCTGGCGGGCCTCTGCAATAAGCGAATAGCCGGCCGGAGGACCGTAATGCAGACGGCCCTGGTTGCCACCCAACAAGAAGCGAACACTAGACTTGCCAGAAAGACTAACGCAGGGATAGAAAAGACCAGTCGTGTTGAAATCCTGTGAGAAAAGAATGGTTATAGAAAAGTAATAGTGCAGAAAAAAATGCATAAATATACGTAGAATTAAGCAGAGATAAAATTGCAATAAATTGCCAGAAAATAGAA